CATGCCAAGAACAACTCTAATGGATGATATCTTCACCACGGGTGAGAAAATCTCATCAAAGTCCACTCCTTTTTTCTGCTCAAAGCCTTTGACAACAAGCCGTGCTTTGTACTTTGGTTTAGAGATCTTTTCATCATTCTTCAATAAGATCATCAATATAAGTCTTAGGCTGCTCAACCTTTTCCAAGTCTTCAATTTTTGATCTTCAAGAAAGACAACATCCCTACTTCTAACAAGTTTCTTGTCGGCAGGATCCCACAATCTATACCCAAATTCCTCATGTGCATATCCAAGAAATATGCATTTTTTTGCCTTAGAATCAAGTTTAAACCTCTCATCTTTAGGTATGTGAATGAATGCCCTGCAACCAAAAACTTTCAAGTGTGCATATGAAACGTCTTTACCTTTTTAAACTTTTTCGGGCACTTCACCATGTAGAAGAACCGAAGGAGAAAGATTAATTAAGTCAACTGTTGGTCGCATTGCCTCACCCCCAAAAAGATCTAGGTAGCTTAGCATGTGAAAGTATACACCTAATCCTTTCAACAATACTGCGATTCATCATCTCGACAACTCCATTTTGTTGAGGAGTCTTGCGAACAGTCCTTTCATGTCTAATCCCATGAGTATCACAATAACCATCAAATGGTCCTAGGTACTCACCACCATTATCCGAGCATTTCAAGTTCCTCCCCATTTCTCTTTACACCTTGACATGAAAATGTTTAAACACATCTAGCACTTGATCTTTGCTCTTCAATGCATATGTCCACACCTTTCTGAATGGTCATTGATAAAGGTAACAAAGTAGAGTGCACCACCAAGCGTTCTAGCTTTCATAGGACCACACACATTCGAATATATCAAATCCAAAACATTGGTCTTTCTAGATGCAAAGTTCTTACGAAAAATAACTCGATGTTGTTCACCGGCTAAGCAATAAACACATGTTTTGAGAGGTGTACCCTTCATTTCCAGTAGGAGCTGCTTCTTGGACAAAATTTGCAATCCCTTTTCACTCATATGCCCGAGTCGTTTATGCCATAGCTCAGTGGAGGAATCATTCTCAAGTGCATTAACTTTACTCTTGTTGATTTTTGCTTCCATTGAGTAAAGAGTAGATTTTTTCTTCCTTTTAGCCATAACCAAAGAACCTTTAGAAAGCTTCTATTTTCCATCACCGAAGTGGTTGTTGTAGTCTTCATCATCAAGCTTCCCCGTGGAGATCAAATTAACCCGAATGTTTGGGACATGCCTCACATCTTTAAGTAGCAACTTGTAATCAATATTTGTCTCCAAGCAAATATTTCCAACACCTATGATTTTAGATAAGCCCTCATTACCCATCCGAACAAATCCAAAATCTCCTTGAGTGTAAGATGTGAAGAAATTAGCTCGTGAAGTAACATGAAATGAAGCGCCAGAATCAATCACCCAACTACTTTCTTGACACATGAAATTAACACAACCATCATCGCACACAACAATGATGTCACCATCGGAAGTGATTGCAAAGTGTCTTCTTGCTTCTTTTCACACCTTTTTTTCTTTCTTTTGATCCCTCTTTAGTTTTCTGCACTCTTTCTTTATATGCCATTTCTTGTGGCAATAATGACACTCTTTATTTTTTCTTAAACTTGAAGCTCCTAATGATTTATCATGGTTGTGAGGTGTTCTACTTTTACTTCTTCCCCGCTTCTCCATGACAAGTGCTTCAAAATGAGAAGAACCGGATGACTTCCTTCTTGTCTCTTCATTTAGCATGCTACTAGTCAATTGACTCATAGTGACAATTCCATCGGGGGCAGAGTTACTAACCATCACTACCAAGGTCTCCCAACTTTCCGACAAGGAACTAAGAAGCAACAAAGCTTGCAACTCATCATCAAAAAGAATCTTCATGGAGGAAAGTTGATTTTCAATGCTTTTCATTTCATTCAAATGTTTCCGTAATGGAGTTGCCCTCTTTATACTTTAAATTAACAAGCTTTCGATACAAAAAAGCCTTGTTAACTACCGTTTTTCTCTCATAAAGACTCTCTAATTTTTGCCAAAGAGAGTGTGTTGAATCTTCGATAGAGACATGGTGGAAAACACTATCACCAATCCATTGACAAATAAACCCGACGGCCTTTCGATTAAGCTTGGTCCACTCACCATCTAACATACCAAGGGGTCAGCCTTTTTCACCTTTTATGAGTCCATAAAGATCTTTTCAATACAAGAGATCTTCCAAGCCACCCAATTGGTTCTTTGAAGCTAACCATATGCCCTACATTACCTTCCATGAATTATAAATGAAATAAATTGAAGCCAACCCGTGCTTTGATACCACTTTTTGGAAAAACTAGTGACTTTCCCTCTATGTGCAAATCAATAGCGAATAACCAAACCACAATCAAGCACAATAAGCAAACCAAACCAACAACAAGAAACACAAGAATTTTTAACGTGGAAACCCTTTAAGGAGAAGGGAAAAACCACGGGACCAAACTTGGTCCAATCTCTCCACTGTCAACGAAAGTAGGATTACAAGTCTTCTAGTCACAACTAGAGATATCAAATATTAAGAGAAAAATAGTTCCTTGGCTCCCAAACATAAAAACTTCACCCTTAGGTGGATTTCAACACAAAACAACTATAAAGACCTCACCAAAGTGGCTGAAATTGTATCATCAAAAACTAGTTGTAGAAGAGTCTGATTGACGACCCGAATCAATAGAAGCCAACTGTGGAAAAGAGGAATATGGCCCTAAAATTTCATCTCGATCGGAGTAGAAATGAGCCTTGAACAAGAGTAAGAAATGGGCTGTTGTCTTCCACTTTTTCTCTCACAAAAAAAGTTGTCCCTCTCAATATTTTCTACAGATTTTCCCACTCAAAAAGTGTAAAAAACCAGTCAGGCTCCTTGGAAGACAAAAGGTCTTATATTCATGGCTTGTGCTAGACTCTATTAAAGCATAGATCCAAAGCACACATGCACATATCCTTTTAAAATTGAATCTAATCAAACCGAATTCAAATTGAACCAACTCTAACCAAATTCTCAGAATCAAAGATATGTGTGTGTATTGACAGAAAAGCAAAGGGTTTGGGGTAAAGGTAAGGGTGAGGTGTTTGGGTGTGTTATGTGTTTATGTGTGCGAGTGTTCTGCTACGTGTGTGTGTGTGTGTGTGTGAGTGTGAGTGTGTGTTTTGTGCGTGCATGTGTTTTTCTGAGTGCGTGGGTGGGTTTTTTGGTGTGTGCTAGTGTTTTGTTATGTGTGTGTGTGAGAGAGAGAGTTTTTTGTGTGTGCATGTGTTTTTGTGAATCTGTTGGTAGGTTTTTTTGGTGGGGGTTGGTGGGTCGGTTTTGCAGACGGGGGTAAGAGTGAGGGGTTATGCAGAAAGAGGAGATCTAAGGGATTCCAGGAAGGGAAGAGCTTTGTGGGGGGGGGGGGGTGAGGGATTAACATAAGGGGGATAGAGATTGAGGGGATCTACATATGTATGTGTGTGTGAGAGAGAGAGAAAAAAAAGAAGTAACACAGTGATACCACAATATCTATCCACTTTAAAAAATATTCCTTTTTATGTTTACGCCTTCAATGAATACTTTGTTAATACAAGTTGTAGTCACACACCCTATATATTGATCCACTATCAATCTATGTTGTTGTTATAGAGCATTGTTTGCTGTACTAATCCTGTGTTGTTATAGTTTTTGCTTATTTTGGCATATAAATTTATAGTGTGACATTATCTATTCACTATATGAAGTCACTTAATATAGTCACAATTTTAATGAACACTTAGTTGAAACACTTTGAAGTCACATATCCTATATTTTTTAGTTAATATCAGTTCTATGTTATTTTCATAGAGTGTTGTATCATTTGAGTTATCTTTTATTTTGATCAAAAAATTTATTGTACAAAACATATATTGCATAAAAAAATTATACCATATCGTAATGATATTATGAAAAAAATGAGTGATTGACTAACACATTAAGTAGCACAAATATTAGGTCAAAAAAAATAAATGAAAGCATAATTTTGAACCTAATATTTGATTTGTAGTTTGAAATTTTGAACCTGATATATAATCAGATCAATGGTGTATTGGAGAAGAAAAAACATGAAAACTAGTTGAAAAAGAAAAAAATCGATAACGACAGATGGTTAAAGAAGATACGTTTGATATCAAAGATACTGATAATATAATTCAAATTTCAAATTTCAAAATAGATGATGTTAGAAATATGGGAGAATTATATTAACAGTTTTTGAGATTTGTCACTTAATCACTTAAATCCCTGATATTTAAAATATTACACACAAATTCTTTAAGATTTGTATATACGTAATACTTAGAATCTTGATCTTTATAATATTAATTAATAGATTATAATCAGACCCCCTGAAATTTATAGATGTATAATATTTAGACCCTTTAAGTTTAAAATGTTATATTTAGACAAAAAATATTTCAATCAAATGTAAAATATTAAATATTTTAAATTTTACAACAAAAATTCATGTTTTATTATATCATTTATTGATATAAAATTAATAATAAAAATCTAAATTTTCTTTAAAAATCATATAAGAAAATTTTAATTTTTATATCAATAAAATGATATAATAAAATATAAATTTTAGTTGTAAAATTTATAATATTTGATATTCTATCTTTGATTGAAGTATTTTTTATGTAAATATAACATTTTAAATTTAAAAATTCTAAATATTACATGTATATAAATTTTAGGAGATTTGAGTGTAATTTATTAACGAATATTTTAACAGTACACGGATCTAAGTGTTACGCATGTATAAATTTTAAGAAATTTGTGATCTAAATGATTAATCGATAATTTTAGGGGTCTGAGTGTAAGTTTTCCTAAATTTTTGTTTGAGATTTTTTATTACATTGAGTCCTAGGCGGTGGACCGATGGCGTTAATGGCCTATGTCTAGGGCCGGCGCTGGGAGAGGGAGAGATTGAGAGAGAGGAGCAATGGCGGTTAAGCGAAAGAAGAGCAATACCGGTGATATGATCGTCCCATGCGGAAAAGAAGATAGTAATAGTACTGAGAAGAAGAGTAATGGTAAGGAGCACTTGCTTCCGTCGATGATAAAGAACAAAGAGAAGAGATCGGCTGTCCACGCCCAGCTAAAGCACCAGAAGAAGCTCGAGAAGCGCAAGAAGGCTAAGGCTCGTGAAGCTGACGAGAAGAGAGCTCTTGAGATTGGAGAGGAGGTTTGGATTCTTCCACTTTGTTCCCGTAAATTACTTACTTACGAACATGCGCAGAACGTGAAATAGAGTTGGAATTTTTCAAGCATAAAGTGTTGCCTCCAATTGAATTTATTGAAGTTTGTCTCATTTTGTTTTTGGTGCAGCCTCCACCAAGGAAGATCCCTCGCACAATTGAGAATACCAGGGAGTTTGATGAGACTATTTGCAAGCCTGATGATGAAGAGGTTCTCTTTACTATCAAAATTGCCTCCCTCTTCCCCCATCTCTCTCTCTCTCTCTCACACACACACATTCACAAAAACAGCACAAGGATGTATATATGTAATGATATGTTAGCTGCTGAAGTAATCAGATTGAACCATTCTTTGGCACCTACGTTGTTCAAGAATTTTTTGGCTTTTTTTTTCCATAATGTTAGATTATTTTTCATCCCATGTCATAGAATCAATGGTTTTTTGGGCTTTTTTTCTCCATAATGTTAGATTATTTTTCATCCCATGTCATGTAATCAATGTTCCTTGTATAAGCAATGGTACAATACCTCTGTTTCTAGCTGAATTCCCATTCACTTGCGTGCGTATTCACCATTAATTTGCAGCTTTTTGCTGGTAACGATGGAGATGAATTTAGCTCAATTTTAAAGCATGAAAGCACTTCGAAGATATTGATCACTACTTGCCGCTTCAATTCTACGGTATGCTTTCCTCTCAAGTTTTCTTTTATTTGTGGGAGTAGAGGCAATAAACTTAGCATGAAAGAGATATTTGCAGTCTTTATCTACTCTAATGTTTAATGGCATTCTTTGTGATTTATGACTGTAATTTCTTATGCAAGATATTTGTTGCGATCGGTGTTGGTTTTGTATATCTCATTACCTGCAGAGAGGACCAGCTTTTATATCGGAACTACTCTCTGTGATCCCAAATGCTCATTACTACAAGAGAGGAACTTATGACTTGAAAAAGGTGCTGGTTACATTCTTCTTCCTCATCTTTTCTTCTATTTGTTTTTCCTTTTTTTAATTCTTTTAATTTTTGGGATAACAAATAGTTTTAAGATAGTAGGTGCAAATTTAAAATCACAAACTTTTTCATGTTTAAGATAGTCTGGTAACTTGGTGCTTCTGCAGATTGTGGAATATGCGACAAACAAGGACTTTACTTCCATTATAGTTGTCCACACCAACCGCCGTGAACCCGGTTAGTTCTCTAAGTCCTTTTCCTGGCCTCTTTACTTTGATTAGAATTGTATATTCTATTGAAAGCAGATGCTCTATATATTTATTCCTTTTGAGTTATTCCGTTTATGTATCCTCCTCAAAAGGTTGCCAACTTTGGTGGTTGTCTTGTAGATGCTCTCCTTGTTATAGGCTTACCTGATGGACCTACTGCCCATTTTAAGCTCTCAAAGCTTGTTTTGCGGAAGGATATTAAGGTCTGTTGCTGTATTTCCTTCATCTTCTTTCAGAATACAAACTTCTTGCATTCTAACTCCAAGGCAAGCTACTGTGCACACAAAATTTCACCAAAGGTGGATGTGAATAAATATGACTAGTTGTTTCCCTTTTTATCTGTGTTGGAGGATTGTTATTATGTTTTTTATAGTGCATCAGCAAGTGTCCTATTATATCAAACATTTACCATCAATTAGTAACACTAATTATTTGCAAATAAATATTTGATCAAATTACAACCTCTAATGACTATTTTTTATTTCCTGAGGCACTCACTTTTACTTATGTATGATTTATGATGACCTAGTACCTTGAATCACTTGGGGTTCCCTGTTACACAAATATACACAATTCAGTAGACCTTAACCATTTACGATTCTAAGGTATGAACATTATAGAAATGTCATGTTTTGGTATGTGAGGTAGGATTTAACATGAAATTTTTCATTCAACTTGATGTTTAGATTTGTTAATGTGTCATATTTTGTCTGAAATGTGTATAAGATATAGGTACCATTAATTGTTTTTATGCACACTGCAGAATCATGGAAATCCAACTAGTCACCAGCCTGAGCTAGTGTTAACTAACTTCACAACACGTTTGGGCCATCGGATTGGGAGGTTGCTTTCTTTTTCTTCGTTTAATGTAGAGGCTACAATCGTGCTTTATTGGTTGTGGAATTCCACTTGGAAGGATCGCATTAGAAATATTTTAAGCGCAGCAAATACAATCATGCTTTACTGGTTATGGAATTCCATTTGAAAGGATTGCATTTTTCTATTTTTTTCACAACATGGAAATGTTGTTAAAATGAAAAATCTCTATTGATTATTGTTATCATCTCTTGTCCCTCTTCCTCTCTCCCTCCTCTTTCTCACTTTCTAACAGTTGTATGTTTATATGTTTTCTAATGTAGGCTGATACAATCACTTTTCCCACAAGATCCAAATTTTCGTGGTCGGCAAGTTGTAACCTTCCACAATCAGCGAGATTTTATATTTTTCCGCCATCATCGGTGTGTATCAATTATACTTACAGGTTGCTCTATTTTAAACATTTTTACATTTATTAGGGATGATCTTTCTGATGGTTTCATTTTGTTATTTTGTGTGCAGTTATATTTTTGAAAGCAAAGAGAGTAAACAGAGTGACTCAAAAGCTACAAAAGGCAAGGATACTAAGGATGAAAAGAGTGCTCAGGAGAAAACAGTTGCTCGGCTTCAGGTTTGTATTTTACTTATTTTCTCTCTAATTTTGTTTTTTGAGCACCTTGGTTTTATATAATGTGAATTTTTGCAATCTGTTGGAACCCTTTTCATCCAGACCTCTTCCTCTTCTGGCTACTTGATTCATGAAATGCTTGAATGGATAAGGACAAACTAGGTCAGTAGGTGGAGTGAAGAACATAAAACTTGTTATACTATATCCTTCTTCATAATGGTCAACATATATATAATGTTCAATTTACTCGCAATTGATCAGACTAATTGTTGCCTAGACAATATTTGGCTCCAGATTGGAAGGGGGAAGCTTGTCCAGATTTTTTTTTTGGGGGAGTGGGGAGTGGTCATAGAGAGAGGTGTAGTATTATCTCCTCAAAAGAAGAGAAGAAGAAGAAGAGGGGAGAGGATATAAAGGTCATTTCGTAGGAGTTGTTAATGGTACATTTGGGTCCACAAATCACATGAGAATTATGTTGCCATTTTCCAAAGGTGAGGTGGGTGATGTGCAAAGTGGCAATCTAACCACAAGGGGATAAGGTGAAGTTTCCCCAAAAAAATTGGAAAACCTCTCTTATTGTTCTAGGTTAGTTCTAAAAATCCCAAACCAACTTAACAACACCACCAAAAAAAAAAAAAAAGAAAATTACATAGGCTGCTCTCTATATATCTTTTCAAAATATTTACATTGACCCTCTAGCATAACTTGGTCCATCCCTGCTTCCATAGTTTCTAATGGTGATAATTCTAAAACTTTTTGCTGAAACTCGGTGAAAGTATTCATTACTTCAGTGGTGCCGTGTAGGGTTGGGTCAATGTTGTTAGTGTTTTTGAAATTTTTGTCCAGAAACTTGTGTTTTATGAATGTTATCTTGAAACAAATTCTTGATTCTGTACTTGCAGGAATGTGGTCCTCGTTTCACGCTGAAGTTAATCAGTCTGCAACAAGGGACATTTGATACAAAAGGCGGGGAATATGAGTGGGTTCACAAGGTAATTTATCAAGGACCCATATTGTGGTTGTGTCTCGACTATATAAAGCTTTTATGTCTTGCTTCTCTAATTTAGCAGTATTTGTATTTAGTGCATCTATCTTATTTGTTCTTTGCTTTTTTCCTCCTCCCCCCTTGATTCCAGCCGGAAATGGACACTAGTCGAAGGAGATTTTTCTTGTGAGATGCTTTGTTGTATCACTATCAAGCTTATTGGCCCCTGAATGGAAGCCCTGTTAAGGTGATAATGAAAATGTTGGTACCCTGTAACAAAAAGTCTGGCTTCAAATTTGTACCCTTCTCTTGGGTTGGGGTATGATGTTAGAGAAAACTGCCTTTGATCCATTTCATATTCACCATAAAGAATAATGGAAATTTTTGCAGATATCTCTTTCTTCCCAGTATTGTTGTAATTTTTCTTTCCTGTTTGTGATGGATCTTGTTCCTGTCTCAACTTTTGCACCTTGAATGCCATTGTGTAAGCTGGGTGCATGCCTTTTTGAGTACATGGAGAAAAATTAAGACAAATAAACCTGCAAATGCAGCACTGCGTAATAGGTATCTTTCAGGAGGCGATTTTGTTACCAGACGCAGACAGTCCATGGTTATCAAGATGCAACTAAAATTCTCCAACATGGACTTAGTTAATCTGATTTTACCTTTGTTTTCTGGGGATAGTCTGCATATCATCCTTAAACAGAGGGTACTTATGACAAGAAAGGTAGTTTTTGACCACCCCCTGTAGGAGACCAACTTCCCTCCCACAACCAAGACCTCTTTTCGACATACACAAGATATACACTCACCAGAAAGGGTTGATGAAACTAGGGCATCAAAACCTGTATAGTAAGGCACTATAGTTGAATCCAGGTACAAGCTTGCATGCATGATTCCGGAGATTGTTGATGCTTTTAAAAATGCATACTTGATGTCCTTGTCAGCAATGTCATCAAAGGCAAGAGCAGATATGTGAATCAGTTGGAGGATGGCTGGACCGATGCATGTGAAGGGAAATATTGTGTTTATCCTTTGGCCCTTGGCGAAAGCCAAAAGGAAAATCGGGAGGGATACTGGACCGGATGGTAGCAAGTATCTTCGTAGTTGAACACGAGAAGGTCGCGTGTTTCCCCTGCTATATACCTCCATCACCATGAAGATTAAGGTAGCGAAGTAGGAAGCTGTTGTGAAGACAGCTACAAGAATATCGACAGTGGGTGGATAATTTCCTGGGTAAGAGCTGTCACAGAAGTAATGATAAGGGCAGTTGATTGGATCCATGGTGTCTTCTAGTTGCCATCTGGTGCACTTCACAAATGTTGAGCGGATATCTTCCAGGGCCCATTCATTTTGTAATGCTGGGTGTTCTGGATACAGGAGTTGGCTATTCATCATAATTTGCTCGATTTTCTCTCTCCTAATCCTTACTGTTTTTTGGACTGTAGGGTGTGCTGCTTTTTGGGGTCTTGTTATAGGAAGACGGAGGTTGGGATGTTACCATAGATTTGGGTCAATAGATGTTGCAAGGCCAACTAATTTTAATTATGTTTATGTTTTTGCTTTTCAGAGATTAGATAATTTATGCAGAGCAAGACATTGCTTATATAAAAGCAACCCCATGGGGTTTGCTCGGCCCTGACCTGCCCGACTAACCTTGATATCTATTTGCAGCAGCAGACCATGATAATTGAAAGCATTGTGAGCTGCTGTAGTCAGAGTCGGGCAAATGTTGCAGGTGGGAGGGTAGTTGGGTAAGGGTATAGAGTTTGAGGCAACTTGATTTCGAAGTGATGGAGTTTGGTAAGTAGTTGCGACTTGTGGTATATTGGTGAAGGGTCATTATATGTTTCATATATTTATGGATTAAACATTTGGAGAATATCCTGAGGTTTTTTTTTTCTGTTATCATGCCACGAGTGGAGACTATATATATTTTTGGGCTAGTAGAAGGAACAATATTGTTAGTGGGGGTACTTGTATATCGGTGGGTTGCATGTTCACTGTATTTAGAACATTAGGTTGGTTAAGTTGTAACCCAAATATTTGGGAGAAGATTGGGTTGAGTTGAGTTTGGTTGGAGGTAGGGATTTTTTTTTTACTACAATGTATTCAGGTTTGTGTCGATTATTTTTTCAAGCTCAAATACTGGTCACCATAACTTTAGCGGGTTTAGAACATATCTCCTCCTGAGGAACAAGGGGACTAATCTTTAGGGGATATAGTAAGTGTTGAACTTATAACTTCTAGGGTACTAGAGGCAAGATTCAGCTGCTGAACCAAGCCTAACGGTTAGTTGTAGGTAGGGATTGCAATAGGGTCGTGTAGTATATTTTTGGTTTTGCATTGAGTAGTAATTGATCGTAACTTGATCTATTTTATTAATCGTCCGATTTATTTACTAATTAGGTTGTATTTAAGTCGATATGTATAAGCCATGAACCAGAAATACAAGAGTTGGATTACTTTCTTTGTGAACAAAACTTACAATTTATTTACCTCCTTTAAATTAAAAATCGTCTTGATCTCTATATTAGCAAAATCAAATAAAAAATTATCTAATTTTTAAAAGATTCAGATAATAAGAAATCATTTTCTTGTGGTAGGTGAGGATTGGTGTTCTGTCCCCCTTCCCCAACAGAAGCCAGATCAAATTAGTAGTTGGTAAACACATCTATTACATGTAATTTTTTGAGTTATACTTGTGACTTTTTAATTATAATTTTGTTGAAATATTCAAATAAAAATACAAACACATACATACGTGTGAATCAAAATATATGTCCTAAAACTTATAAATACCCTTATTATATTGATCTTATGTATTTTTTTTTGAATTGAGTAGATAATTGTTGTTCGATTGAACACTTGATTTTGATTTTCAGAAATTTAAGTATAATAATATTACAAAGTTACTCAAGTTTGATTTTATTTTATTTTTATAAGAAATTGATCACATGAATTTCAATGTCATATACATCGTAATTTAATGTATTTAGAGAAAACATCCAAATTCTAGTTGTCAAAAAAAATTTCGAAAAATTGTGGGTAGGTTATCTTATGAACTACTTATTTGTGAGAAAATACTTCGAAAAAAATTTATTGTAGTTAAGTAATATTAGGTGGAAAATGTACTGTGTTTAGATACAGAAGGACTGCTTTTTTAATTTTTTATTTATTAAAATATTCTTTTCCATATTTCATAGACTTTGTAGTTTGACAATTTTTTTTCATGGGATTTAGTTTTATTAAATTAGTGGTTTCCTATTTTAGAAGGTCTTTATTTTTTGAATTAAATGTATTCTTCATAATCAACGATGTCTGATTTAATAAAATCAATGTTGGTGCTCGTCTTCTTCAACATATTATTATACTTCAACGTTTGTACTTCAATGTTGAGTGATTGTCTTTTACTTCGATGTTTGCGGCTTTTCACCCACAGGTTGCACAATATTTTTTTTTCTTAAATTTCAATGATGGGTGTTATACGTAAACGTTTGATTTTTTACTTCAATGTTTGGTACTCATCTTCTTCAGCATCTTCTACTTCAACTTTTCTACTTATGACTTCCCAACATCAGGTAAAACGAAAAACTAAAATCTTATCCTTTGTCACCTTCTCCGTAAGCCCACCATTATTCATTTTTTGCAAGAGTTTTCTCTTTACTCTATGCATGACGGACTAGTTTGATTGATCTATATCCAAATTGAGTAATATACTTAGGCCTGTCAAAATTCGACACGACACGATTTATCGATACGAATTAAGCGGATTTGAGTGAGATTTTAACGAGTTTGGGTGATACACGGGTTGATCCAGCAAATACGTTTTATAAACGGATCATGTTCGGGTAAGAGCTATCAAACCGTTTATCACACGTTTACTCGTTTAAATAAAATTAATATAATAATAAATTAATAATTATTTTAAAAGATTAGCCATTAAGGAGGGGAGATGGGAGTAGTTCATGACAAAGGCAAACTAGCCCTTTTTGTTTTTGTCCCACATTGGCAAATGAAGGGAGATAGAGAGGGATGTTTTGCCAATAAAATGCAGTGGCCTATTGCCTTTTTTTTAGCCTTCAAATCTAATTTTTATGTGAAATTTGGTTAAAAATTCTTTTTTTTTGCGGTAAATACAATTGACAGTAAAAACAGTGGTATATTAAAATTTGTTAATGTATTTTTTTTTAAAATTAAATAAGTCGTGTCGTATTATTTGTTTATGTTTATTAAACGGGTCATGTTCGTGTTGAGATTTTTCACTCGTTTATTAAACGTGTTTTATACGGGTTTACATGTTTTTCACCCGTCATCCGTTTAATCCGACACATAACCGTTTAACCTAACACGTTTGACATCCCTAAATACACTCCTTCATTGAAGCAATTTGCTCTTTCTCCCATTTGTACTGTTATATTAATTCAATGTCAATTGTTGTGCTGTGTTATTACACTATAACGTAACATTTCCATTCCTAAAAGAAATATATGTGTTTATCGAATTGTAGATGTCACACTATATAAAGCATACCATTTAGATTGTGCATGAATTATGGCATACAATTGCACATTTTGTTAGTTATTAAAGTGTTAGTAAAATTGTTACACTATGATGTATCACTGTCATGTCACATTGTGTTAATCAATGGTGCTCTAACAAATGTATAGTCAATACACATGCGAAAGATTTTTTGGTTCTCACAATTTTTGATTTGGTTGAAATCTAATGAATTTTATGATATTTTTTGTTTGAATTTCAAACACCCTGTTTTGTGCGATATCTTAGTGAACGAATTTCATGGAAATGATACTTGATTTTTGGTTGTTTTACAAATCCATGAGATAGCGCCGGTTACTTTTTTATTATGGGTATATTTGAGATCACAATGAAAAGGACCTCTCTTCAAATAGTTTTACCCGAAGGATTTTTACTCAATTAAGTTTTATATTGTGTTCCGACTCATAAAAATATTGAAAATAAGTTAATTTTGCATATGGAATGCAAGCAAAAATTAAAGACTTAAAGAGAAGAAAATCAAAATTTCCAACCGGGGAAGTGTATGATGCAACAACTTAACTTGATAGAATTGGAATATGTTTACTTGGAAAAGGATAATTATGATTCAGAATATAAAAATCATTACATATAACAGAATTTCTGAAATGCATTTGTGCAACACAGGAAGTCATCCAGTTTGCAAGGCTACATGGGTTCGATGAAATTACAGTGGAAGGGGACTGAATAAATATGATGAAGATGATGGCTGTGGACGATGGAGACTTCGATCCTTTGGGTTCTATTTTAGTAGATATCAGAATTCTTTCTCAAGAGTTTCGTTGTTTTAACATTTCTACTGTTCGAAGGTCGGAGAATTGAGTTTCTAGACAATACGGTTGTATGAGAGGATAGGGTACGCGATTTCATAGTATCTCTCATTTTTTCATATATTTATCGTTAATAACAATTCTACCGTTTCTTTCAAAAAGAAAAAAAAAATTATTCACCCAAAAAACTAAAGTTCTCAACATAAGACAAAACACGATAAGGGAAAAAGGTGGGAGATGAGAAATGTTTGAATAATTTAACATACGAGGTACCACTGTCATGTGGTGTGCGCACCTAATAAAAAAACTATCATAAAACTAGATTGTGAGACACAAATTAGTTTTTTCAAATATATATTGAAAATGTATATTATTTTATTAGTGATGTACACCATTTGCTATGTTGATCAACTCACAAAATATTTTCAAGGTTGGGGGAAAGGCTAGGAGACGTGGGACTTTACCGTTTTAATGGGAAGTCATTGAGACAAGAAAATATTCATTACAACGGTGATACCACGTGACAAGGTGATGTGGTATCACTAACTAATAATACTAAAACAAATAAACAAATGGAACACACAAAAATCAATAACTAATCCGTCATGTAAACAAATAACTTCTCAACCTCCTGCCATGTAAGCCCAAGTAGGGTTCACCTTTTTTATTTGAAATTTTATTATTGGTAGGTGATATCATGTCATCAATGATGCGTGGTATCACAGTTGCATTCAATTTTTACTCAATTAAGACGAAAAACTAAAAAGTTACAAAGCGATAAGATCTGTTAAGTATTATGTTTTTTTAGTTGGTTTGTATTTAATGGAACTTAGCTATACCAATAGGTACTTGCATGCCAATAACAACCAGGAAGAACCCTTGATAAATGAGGTTAATGATCGATCCAATGACTACGACCTTTATTGCTTGACATTAAAGTCGTAGATTCAAACTTAGTCATCCCTTCTTTATAATAATGTTTAACAAAAAAAAAAGGACCCTTGATAAATAAACCTGAAAACCATTATGAGGCCCTTGATAAATGTTATATTCAGCTTTTTTAGCGCTTCC